ACTTTGATTTATTTGTTTAACGTATACTGTTTTATCTTGGTTTATTTGTTTAACGTATACTGTTTTATCTTGGTTTATTTGTTTAACGTATACTGTTTTATCTTGGTTTATTTGTTTAACGTATACCGTTTTACTTTGGTTTATTTGTTTAACGTATACTGTTTTATCTTGGTTTATGTGTTTAACGCATACTGTTTTATCTTGGTTTATTTGTTTAACGTATACTGTTTTATCTTTTTCTGATAAGAGTTATTGTAATAAAATAACAACTAATCTGTCTCCTTAATATTCTTTGTTAGTTTGTGTTCATAAGTCTCTTCTCTGAGGAAGTCTTCCATATTTAAGCTTCACAAACAGTATAGCCTGAACATCGAACAACAATAAAATGATTTGGGTTTTTCCAAAACTCACCAACACTTTTTCATCTCCTACACTTCCATTCATTTTTTCCGGGCTCTTTTCATTGGCTATAACTTTATTTTTCTCGGTGTCCACAGGTTTTATGCTAGAGGGCGGTACTGTCGTCGCAACACTATCTGTCGTCATTTCCGATACGCTAATGCTAAGTGTCATTTCACTCTTTGTAGATTTTTTCAGTTTTCGTTTCTGCAATGGAAATTTTTACTTAGCTACAAATTAGAAATATCGTAAAAAAATCACTGTACAAGTACATATCGTCTGTTGGTTACAATAGTAACCAATCTTGAAAACAAATCAAGCGTTTGTTCTGAATAAAATTCAAATATTTAAATTATAACTCTCACACTTTACACAAATTTCCAAAATGTTTGTTAAAATAATTCGCAGAAAACTTTTAAAGAAACACATTTACTGTAATCAGAAGAATTTACCAGTTTCTGTAAAAAAAAATAAAAAATCTAAAGTTAATGTTTTGTTCCATTCAAATTTAAGCTTAATGTCTTAACTACGATACTTAATCCGGACCTCCCAATGCATGACAGATAGATTAAGCATCTTGTCTCTCACCTGCTTGGCTTTTCCGATGAATTTAAGAAACCTTTCGGTCAGGAAGAACAAATAGACTCCACCGAAGATGATCAAAGCTCTCCATAAGTAGGAATGATGAGGATCGTTGTCGAGAATCCCAAAAGACTGCAATGATATAAATTCAACATTCGAGAAGCAGTAACAATTTTTTTTATCTTTACTACCTATAACTGACACGATAACCAAATTACTGACTTGTTGATACATCGTTCACTAGTGATGAGGTCAGTGTATTGTTTTACCTATTATAACACTCAGTGTAAAGAACTGACCAAACTGGGAAAAATTTTCTATGTAAAATCACAGCAGCAACTGGAGGGATTCATCGAAACATTGATAGTATTTTTGTTTAACTGTTTTTGTTGTTTTTTTGTGACTATGTTATTATGGATCCCGTAATAAGCTAATTCATGGACACCAAAACAATGTGGTGCTTAAACAGCTTAGGAAAATGTGTTTAAAAATATCATGGGGTCCATGAACTTCATTTATAATGATAGGGTTAAACATACCCATAATCATTAAATATTTTAGTTATTGCTAAATAGCCTAAAATCATGATTTACGAACATTATATTTTTGTCAAAAACTGTTTGATCAGAGTAACTAATCATATGGATGAAGGGATAACAAGGATATTTTTCTAGGAATACACTCTACTTTTAAAAACCGTTCAACCTTCTTTATAATTGAATTTATTAATCCTTTAATTATTGCTTTTTCCCCGCAGCTTTCATATTACGTAAATTTTGACTTTTTTTCACAAATAATCAAGAGATAGGAGTACACGAATCATGTGGTCCACATATGATTATTTGATATCACGGTAATAAAAGGATTATTTATTCATTATTAATATCTTTTTTATACTGGTAAAATTACAGGTGCATAATGAAATGGGTAACTGTTAATATTACACATATTTATCCTTATTGACTGGGGTCGAGCGCGGCCTCGTGGTTAACGTGCCGGTGAGAAGGTCCAGGGTTCGAGTCTGGAATATATAGCTGTGGGCAAGTTATAAAAACTGGCAGTCAATCTCACTATTCAAATATAAGAAGCTATATAGATGGCAGGTTCTGCTAACTGGCTTCCCTCACCATGGTCAGCAGTTCTAAATTAGGGAGGGGTAAACCTGAATCCTGACATCTGTGGCGTGGTAATTTAGCTCCTGTATTTTATTAGATGTAATTTAAATTGAAAATATTAAATATCTTTCTGACAGTTTTCTGTAACTGAAGATATCATAAACCTTTAACTAGTTCAACCTACATTGTCTCTTCATTTGTATCCCATAGACTGACGAAATATCCAACAATATATCTATCTAATAGATCGAATAAAATTAAAAGAGAATAACAAGTATACAACTTAAGCTAGAGGATAAGATGATGAAAGAAAATAATAAAATACAAAAATATCAATGTTACTCGAGAGTTAATACGTAAAAATAATCAAAATTATAGGCTTTTTAGAGACATACCTGTGGAATGAGATGAAAGATGGCGCTGCTTAATAAACTACCCACTGCTAATCCTTCAAACATCATGATAAACTTCTTGTACAAACGTTTGTTCATCAAAGGCATGAGTACAACTCCACCCAGCGAACAGCAACTGATGATGGTGACGAATAGGATTCCAAGTCCCCATACTGCACACATAAAAAAGTGTATAATTTCTAAGTACCCATACTACATACGCGTAGAAAGCGACGTATGAATTTAGAATTACAAGCTATTTTAACCAATAGTGCATGTAAGTTTGGGGGCGTAAAGAACTAAGTTTGTGAAATGGTAACAGATGTGCATATAAAGGTTAAAAGTATATACAGTGAATGTTTCCGGTAACTATGGAAACAAGAGAGGGTGATATTTAGAGTTGTAATCATAGAAACAAAGGAGTTTGTAAACTACTAGAAACATAAAATATACTCGGTATAAAAATGGGTGATGTCTCTAAAAATATGAAGACAAAGTACGAATGTTCTCGTTATCGTAAACCTAATCAAACGTTATTGTTTAAAAAGAAGAATTTTCTTTTTTTTTGCGTTTATGTTAAAACTACTGAGTCAATATACCGCCATCTCTAATTCTGAGCTATGACCAGAAGGAATGCAATCAATCCGTAACATTCGATCCATTACTATTCATGCTTAGGGATTCATTGTCACTCTTATAACGCACCCACATCTTAGAAGTGAGAGGAATATTTTGTCATATAACACGGATTCGAACCGGATTCGCCAGCTCGTAAATCCAGAGCGATAGCACAAGTATAACCCACACCCCCGGGAAGAATTAAGCTGATAGAAACCATTTAATTTGGCTTACTTGCTGCGGTGGAGGGTCTGGAAGAATGTACTTTCTCGACTTCACATTCTCCGGTCCGCTGTTGCACAAGAAGGACTGGACATAACTGAGTTATGGCGTCACTCAGAGACTTTGTAGAATTAGGTACCAGGCTGAAAAGTTCTGTCGAACTGATGCACTGTGGGAGAATGATAACGTTAGCTTGTCATAGTTACCGAAACATTTTCTTCCACTTGAGGTACGTAATAAACTGGTTTTAATACCGTTAACCACTGCTGTTAGAACAAAACTTCTATGTAACCAGGAAAATAATCTGATTAAAACTGATCAACGAAATTCGTGTTCAAAAACAGACTAAATAAACTACGTATTTATCATAATTATTACATATTTATCATACATGTCAACCTTTTGAAGAGTAGAAGAGATAGGTCAGCGCATCACTGTGGCATACTCTTCCAGAGTCGTTTTAAAGAAAACAAACACAATTTCCTGCACCCTATGCTGCAGCTCCATCGTTTCTGTCAGTTAGTTCATAGACACGTATTTATTACTTAGTTTTTAGTTCATGTTTGTTTTTTATTTTCGAAAATAACTTGTTTCAAGAACACCCATTTAAGTTTATTCCTGATAGAGAATAAGATCTTTTATATAATAATTCTACAAATAAACGAAGGTAAAACAATATTTATCAAGCAAATAAACCAATCGCTGTTAGATGACACGGTGTTAATACTATTTTTCTGATAAGAGTTATATCGCTGTTAGATGACACGGTGTTAATACTCTTTTTCTGATAAGAGTTATATCGCTGATAGATGACACGGTGTTAATACTAAAAAGACATAGATTTCATAAAAATATCAGGATGAATGAGGATGCATATTCGTTTGACATCAATGTTCTTCTCATTTCTTCAATTTGTTTGTATTTTTGTTAACAAACATAATATAATATGTTCATTGTGGTAAACGAAATAATAATTTGATTTAAATAAGAGTTTTTTCTTCTTCCCGATTTGTAAAAAATCCTTACGTGATAGAAGAAAATGAATATTATTTTCGAAATCTGCGTAGCTAAAAATCCATTAATAAAACCAAAACAAGTTTTATGAATTTTATATTCGCAGGCCTGCGTAGTTAGCAATCAGTCCATTACATGACCATGTTCTAATACTAATTCAATGTCAACATAATTTTTCAGTAAATTCAGAAACTTGCGTGTTTCTTTAATTAAGATCAGTTGAGAAACTTACACTCGTTTATAGGTATTGCTGTTGATATGGTCAGATTTGAAGCCTCGCGATGATTTTTATGATTACCTAAGTTAAATTTCAACATCCTTGTCATTGGAATTATCAACAGATTTTGACTTATCAGTAGTCCAAATAGCCCTTATGGAAAAACTATAGACTTTTTTCCTAGGCAAATGGGTTTACTAAAAGACCTTAATGCATTTTTGGTATAATTTTCCCAATAAAAGGGGATGTGTTACCGTTCCCTACATCGTGTAATATAGAACACAGAATTTTAATACACAAAATGTTTGAACTGCTTGTTACCGTATTTAAAAGAATAAAGAAAAACTGGCTTTGCATGTAAATAGTCTTTATTGAATAATAAGCCAAAAATTTCAAAATACATTTGAGTACCATTAAGATTTTACAAAATATGTATAAAGGAATAAAATAATATTAAACAGTTTTATGAATATAAGCCCATCTTATTGGCCGACACCGCGAGCATCTATAACAAACATTTCCATTTTACAGATAAAAAAATATATATAATTCGTCACCTTCTACTTTTTTTTCCGGCGTAGCAGACAAAACTATTTTCGATAAAAAAAGTTATAAATCTTTAACATTGTAACAATAATTGCTCACGAGAATATGAAAAAGAATACAAAAGGAGTTACTTAGTTGAAAACGTCAACAGTTCTGTATGGACGAAAGTTTACACAATAAAATGATAATAATTACTCGCCACGGAAATGTTGGTTTATATTTTTGTTTTTTTCTTTACAACGTTTTGGGTGATAGCCCTTCATCTGTCTGATGCTGTTTTCTGAAACGTCCTCTTCTAAGATGTATGTAATTATGTGGTTCGTCTAGTAAACTAGAATCATCGAACACTTTCCTCATTAGCCATTTGAGAAATATAGAAGGTATCAAAACACTTCATTAAAATTTTTGCCTGGTTATAAACAAAGTTTTAATAAGTTGGTGGGAATTCCACTCGATCTCAGTTTTTCATTTCCCGAGATTCATAAAAAAAAAGTGCAGTACATTATTTATCGTTAAGGTACTGTAGGAAGTAAACTGTAATAAGTTCTTCTGTCTATCCCTTTGGGAAAGGCCTAACCTTTTCCATTCTCTTGACCAATCTTTACTGGTACTGCAACCAACACCTGTCATTATTAATTTTCTTTATTTTCATAGCATCTGTTTTCAATACCAACACATCTTGTTACTTGAACAATTCACACACTAAGATGCAAGAACTGCCTTTCTATTGATTTTTTATATTTTTTCACTTCGGAATTCAGACTCTTCTATTCTGTTAACAAACTGACAAAAACGCGGGTCACAAAAACGTTAGATTAATACTCGTTTTAAGATATAATTACAATGTAGAAATTTCAGTTTACGTCTGAATGTTTATTGCTTTTGCTCGTGACAAATCTGAGTGCATATCTTGTACATTTTCAAGTTTACATTACGAAAAATGTAATTATTACAAGGTAACACTTTATAAGTATTTCATCACAGATATCAACTAAAATAGTTCCAAATATAAAACAAAACATTTAATTAAAATTTATAAACATCAGTGATTTTAATAATAATTTATGTGAACATAAAATACAAGTTATATCACACGATGAAAACTTAGGAAATGACTAAAACGTTACCCAGTTAAATCATTGATACAAAACTCATAACATTTTGTTATATATAAATTTAAGATACTTCACAATGTTTAGGAAAGGATGCCACTATCTCTCTCTTGGCCTAAAACTCTAAATACATATCATTGGTTAGTAAATTAAAAACTTAAAACTAGTGAAATTGTATCATTCAAAATCAACTTTAATAATACTTAAAATTCTTATTCTCGTTACAATTTGAACTCTAGAAAAAAATAATTCCTACAACATTTATGTTCATCATTACTTTCGACTCATAAATAACACTCGGCAAACACGCACTTAAATTTTAAATTAGCATTACTCTCGACTCAAGTCAACAAATAACACCCTTTCAAAAACGAACCTTTACACGACAGAACTCTCACTTCAGTGCTCAAAAACATAACATTTACTCATCTTTACTCTCAACTCACTATTAATTCTACAAAAACTTATACTGTTACATATAAATCTTGCACGTCATTGATTTAGACCTAATATATTATTTTAAAAGAAATATGATGCTTAAAGCTTGTACCCGTAATTTCTCGCGGTTCAATGCCCATAGTAGTAAACTGATAGTTCAAACTCTTTTGTGCCATTAACAGAATAACTGATATTTAAAACTAAAAATATCAAATACGAGGCCAGAACCGAATTAAGAAAAAAACATTTCTTTTTTACTGTTCTAAACAATTATCATTGAAACTAAATGAAATTTAACAAAAAAACTCTTTCCTCAAAGATGGGTAGAAATGTATTCAAATGATTTTATTGACTTTCGAAAATCATTGTGAATGAATACGTTGAGCGAATTTTTCTATAATTTTTCAACGTAGAACTGAATTAGAGCAAAAGAAGAAACAAATCATTCATAATGTAGTAGGTTTTGATGTAATGAAGTATTTCAGGTCGATATAAAGTTAGAGATTCTGCGAGCGATAAAAATGTTTAGTTCGAAATATAGCAACGGTTTGAAGCAGTGCTGTATAGGTCTACACTGTGCGTTTTTGTGGTGACAGCATTTAGACTGATATAACCTTTTTTTTTTTACGATTTGGCGACTTACGTCGGACACAATGTTACTTAGTTGTTGTTGTTTAGCTCGTGAGTTGGCTCTGTGGTAGAGGTCAGGATTTCGCAGCTGGCGAGTCAGGCTCGAATAAGTGCGATATTACCAAATATTACTCGCACTATAAGTTGTGGGCGCATTATAAGAGTGACAGTCAATTCCTTAGCGTGGATAACGGTTGGTAGGGTACTGCTGACTGTCAGTAGTTGCAAATTAGTGACAACGGTAGACAGCCTTAGTAGCTCTGCCAAAAATACAGATAATGTTGTTCAGTTTTGTTGCTTTTCTTTAGGTTGCTATAATATTACTTCGTTACTATTGTTTGGGTTGGTATGGTCTACTTTCTTTGAGCTTCATGTCCATGTGACGTTATTTATACAACGATGTTATTTGGGCGTCAAAGCATTTATTCTACGAAGAAGATGCTAAGGTCTCCTAAACGAATTCCAATTAAAAAGTTGGACGGATTTCTGTGGTAAGATTTAGATTATATAAATACATTATTGCATCCATTAATCATCTTTAGGCATATTATTAGACTCTGTGGAAACATATAACATAGCTTGGAGCACACGCAACAGTATATATAAGGAGGATATAAAACCTGATCACCTTTATTAACAAAATATACATTTTTAACAGTGGCGAAATGTAGAACTAAATAATGAAATATCAGGAAAATGAGAGAGTTACTGTGATTTCCTTTCACTTGTCTACCCACCAAATCAACATAAAAACACATTACAGGTTTCCTAAAAACGTAAACATTGAAAATCAAAGAAGTATATATAAACACAATATTTTTCCTTTAATTACTGGAAGACGGATTGTTTCCTAGACTCAAAATGAATAAATAAATGGAAGTACACAAACCACCCCCGTATCGATTATCGCCAACTAAACAACTAACTGTAGATAAACAGTTGGTCCACTGTATAATTTTGAATAATGAATTCGACGAAATGCCATAACATTATTCACATATCTAAATTAATTTAGGTTACTATATGGTAAAACAAAACGGACACAAAACCCATAGATATTAAACAAATAACTATTCATTTTTACGTAGAATCTTTTCTGTTGTAATTTGTTAAGGAAATGTATCACGTGCTCGTGCTTACTTGAAAATAAAAATATCAAAGGACTCGTTTTATAGAGCGATCTAACAGTCGAGTGTGTTTTCTGTTGTTGAGCTTATTATAAAAGCCCATTGCTAATTTAATTCGAATTAAAAAGCACGTAAAACGTGTCCGGTTTTAGTTAGAACTAGAAGCAATACTCTCGTCAATACTACAACAACATGACGTCATCCTATCTTCGTTAACAGTGTTACAAAAATCAGTCGTCACTAAAATGAGCATGGTGTGAGAAAGAATCATCAAAAATATATTCTCTCATTCATTTACTATCATTGACAGTTCATTTTTCTTGTGTTATTGTGTGTAAAATCAAGTCACGTTTAGTTAAACATAACGTATTTTTCCAGTTTCATGCTTATCTTTTCTTTTATAGCGTACACATATGAAAATCAACGCTACACAGACTTAAAACTTTTAAACTTGTTAAAGATTTAAAAAAAACAACACGGATAATATGATCTATGCAGTAAGCAGTTTCGGAGTCCGATATCGCAAAATTTGCTAAAAGTCTTCTTATAACCTGCCCTTCATGTAAAAAATAGATTATTTAGATAATAATTATCTCTTCAGACTAATCATCACAAATACTCCGTGACTTTTTAGCACATTTTCTCCACAAATCTCATAAATTTTTTGTCTTATTTCCTAGACTCTATAACTGTTGTATGAAGTAGACACAGAAAGTACAAAGCCTGTTATTATCAAACTTACATACTAAAAACTAATAACCACTTCACAGAATAAAACATTCTTACAAATCTTCGAGACAGAAGTTATTCTAGATAATCAAAAGTTATTCTTTCACTATACAGGGCCAAAATGAAGAGAATTAGCACTCCTATCAAAATTCCGATGTTCTGAAAAAGGAAGATTTTAAGAGACGCTTTTACACCATCCTTTTCGACCTTTTCCATGGCCTCATTCAACTCACCCATCTAAAAACAAAAAAGACTTGGGTTCATCGAAAATCACTTGTACATATAGACATATCGAGAAACTTGATGATGTATAGATTATGTAAGAAATAAAAATGGAGGAAATTATACCTAAAAAATCTATTCCAGTTTACACAGTAAGTTTTCTCAAACAACTTTATAATATAACTAGCGTCTCAACCACTACTATGTCTGTCCTATCCCAGCCGGCCTGAAGAGTTCTGGTATTAATGAAAGGCCTCGTCGGTACTGGATATAGCAGAAAGAGCGTGGTTGAGATATTATTTTTTTTTTCACTTTCACTCACAAGTTTTTATAACTAATTACAAGCATCTGTTTATTATTTACTATTTGTTTGTTGTATAGCTTTTCTCCTTTTATTTATTTCGATTTAACTATATTACAGCGGTCTCTGTGTGACTTAGATTATGCATGTATTTACATGCAGTTGCAAAGAAGGTTTCACTCAGACAATTTTTTTTAAAATAAAACATAAGAATTTTAAATTATCACTCCGTTATAAAGCTAACAGCTCCTGGAATTCATTATGTCTAAGAAATGTATAAAGTCACCTACCATGTCCACCAGAGAGATGTATAAAAACATTCCACCAGCAAGAGCAAAGATGTGTGGTGTTCCTTCTGTGAAATCACCTAGTAAAATTCCAACCACAAGTCCAACGTAACAGGTGCATGCAGACAGAAAATTATAAATCACAGCCTCACGAATGGTCATTCCTGCACTCAGTAAAACAGCAAAGTCCCCTGAGAAAATAAAAATTGTTCAGTCTTATTTACAACAATTCTAGATAATTATATAGTATCAGGGTTAAAATAACTTTTTACGTTAAACACCAAAAGACGATTTCAATACGAGGTTTCATGTTTTGTGTAAAAACTCGGGAATTTAATTACCAGAGAGAGAAGTTATGCCAAAGTAATGAATAATAATTTTTCTACAAAATACCATGTCCATCCATTTTTAATTAGTTGTATTCAGGCACTTAGCTCATATTTTGTAATTCAAGTTGAAGATGTTTTTAAAAAAGTTATTTTACAAATGAAATATAGCTTGTCATACTTGTTTTAATTACATTAACGTTATTAAGTATATATTTTTATCACAAAGAAGTGGTTAGAAATTATATCAGTGACATCCATATTTTTTACAGCATTTATACCTTAAAATGTTTAAATAGTAAATAACTTATTTTTCGGTAAATACAACTTATAAAAAACAGTTTGCTAATAAATAACCTAATAAAAAGTGTACGTGTGTAAGTAGTACACACAAAATATCCAAAGAAAGAAAAACCAGGTTAAGTTTAATTAAAATACCTAAAGGAATTCATTATTTACACATTATGTTTGCCAACATTGGACTAACCTAACCAGTTGTTGAAAAGCCTCTGGGTTCTCATTATCTGTATTTTCAACCACTTCTATGTCTGTCGTATCCTAGCCAGCCTAAAGAACCCTGGTATTGAGGGAAAGGCCTCGCCAGTATTGGATATAGACATGGTGTGGTTTATATATTATTAATTTACTATACACCCTTCTTTACTTTCACTCGAAAACATTTTAGAGTTATGATTTATTCTACTGTTTTCTCACCTAATTCATGTGGCAACTCTTCACAGAACACAGCTAAAGATATACTTATCCCTGAAAGGATGCTACTAGTAAAAGCTGCTCCAATAGAAAGTCCATCTATAAAGTTATGTAAGCCATCACCAAAAATGATCATCCAGGCCACAGTTCCGATAACTCTTTCCTCTGTGGTTTGAATCTGGTGGTTGTGATGATTACCCTGAAAGAGTTATAGCATGTGGAAACATATGAAAATCCGGTGGTCTGGTGATATTCCTAAGACTTACACATGCTATATAATTTGTAGTAATCCTGAAAGCGTTATAGGATTTAAATTTGGTAGTTGCCATAATAGTCCTTAGAAAGGTACAAGAACTATAAGTAAACTGAATTTTATGGTCACGTCAGTGATAATATTGGATATGAGGAGGATTACAAGTCAATTTGCGAATGTTGAAAGCTGTATTTTCAATGTTTTAATTTAGATGTCAGCTAGAGGGCGCATGACGTTAAATTAATTTGGTTTCAATTTCTTGCAAAGCTATACGAGAGCTATCTACGCTAGCCGTCCCTAATTTAGCAGTGGCAGACTAGAGAGAAGGCAGCTAGTCAACACCACTCACTTTCAACTCTTGGGCTACTACTTTACCAACGAATAATGAAATTGACTGTCACATTATAAAGTCCCCACAGCTGAAAGGCCGAACATGTTCGGAGACAAGGATTCGAACCCGCGACCCGCCTTAACCACCAGATTATGCCAGGCCGCTTTTTTCTTTTGGAATACCTAGAACGTTCGGAAATATACTATTGTGATTGGGAGAAAATGCAAAGTGTATAGAAATAAGGCTAAGTTATAAGTACGAGAACTGGGGAGTATGAGTCAATCAGTTTAGTTCAGTGTTATTCGATTAGCCCTGAAGTTGTACAAGTAAGTTTTATTTTATGTTAGTTGTGGTACCATTAGCAAATACTTCCTGTTTGAACGTCATTTGTAAAATTATCTAGGTCTACAAGTTACAACAGCGTACAAATAAAGGAGCTTGTACAAACATTAAGAAAAAATAAACTAATTTATCATCGTTACGTGGACTGGACTTGACCTTATTTTAACCAAATAATTAAAAAAAAACAGTCCAATGAAAGAACAATGTTACAACACAATGATGCTAATAAGCTGTTTAAAAATAAACTTAAGAGTAAAGATTCATTGCCAAACAGTAGAAACATTCTGTTGGTATGAAAAGTTGACAGGAATATTTGATTTGTTTCGGATCTTCGCGCAAAGCTACACAAGGGTTATCTGTGTTATTCGTCCCTAATTCTTAACTGATAGACTAGCATTTTGGTTTGTTTTGAATTTCGCGCAAAGCTACACGAGGGCTATCTGCGTTATCCGTCCCTAATATAGTAGTGACAGACTAGAGGAAAGGCAGCTAGTCTTCATTACCCCACCCACTCTTGGGCTACTCTTTTACCAACGAAGTGTGATTGAACATGACGTTATAACGCCCCACAGCTGAAACAACGAGTATGTTTGGTGGGACGTGGATTCGAAGCCGCGACCCTTAGATTGCGAGACTAGTGGAAAGACAGCTAGTTAACAGTGGACACATCAACTCTTGGACTACTGTAATCGAAGACTGTCATTTTTATAACACATCCACAACCTCAAATAGCGAAGCAGATTTTGGACAACGGAACCGAACCGTGGATCTTAGGATCTACAGTCTGACACGCTAACAACTAGGCTATGCTCATCCCTGACCAGAAAACATATTAACATTTGGGCCAATTAACGCCATTTGACGATTAAACAAAATAATCGTAACTACACTGACATTCTGAACAACCAACCTATGATGCAATAGTTAATCATATATCAAGAATTGTATATTTTTGTAATTTATCTTATGATACAGAAACATTAGCAATACGTCAAGAAAAATCTCGCTAACTTTCCAGGAGATAAAAAAAAATGTTTGTATAATATTGCTAAGGAAAATAAAACTTATGGAAGTTTCGCAGCACTCGCAACTAGTGGTTAAAAACAAAAAAGTTAAAAATTAGTAAATGATTAAGTAGTTTAGAATTGAGCAAATAGAGATCTACCTAATGTACCAGTAGTGCTATCATTTAGTGGAAGTGGTGAAAAGTAGGGATTTGCTAATGTTCCAATAGCGCTCGAATCTAGTGGGCGTAAAAAAAAACTAAGCATTATACTGAAAATAAATATTAAGCCTACCCCATAATTTCATTCATCAATTGTTAGTGAGTTATACAGGTTTCCGAAAAATCCATCTTTCATGAGCAGTCTTGGATAAGAGCAAATCGAAAAAGCTAGACTTCATATATTGGTGAAATGAATATATAAACCCTAAAGATTTAGTACATGCAATATATGCTCCACCACAATATATATATGTAATTGTACTCCACACTTTGGGGTAATGTGTTATAAGAGTTACAGTCAAATTCCATTTTACGATCTGAAAGGAATGGTCCAACAGTTGACAGTCTATCAGTTCAAAATTGAGTACGGCTATCACAGATCGCCCTCGTGTAGCCTTGGGTGAAATTCGATAAGAAGCCTTGTTCTGGACTGAATGAAATTTAATCTCGCTTTCTCAGCAAACAGGTCAGCAACGTATAGGGTCATTAGTCACCGAAGGATCAAGTATCATTTGCCATGATAACATAAATTCTAATAGTTCCAAAAACTGACGAGATATTTGACAATATACATATATATATATATACTGGACGTTAAACTTGCATAACTATTTTTATATTAGATACAGTGTCATTTGATATCAGTTATTTTCTTCTTGTGATCTGTACCTACTGAATCATAAGCTGAGTTTTACTTTTTAACATTTGACTGCAACGCTGTGGCAGCATTAGCTTTTGTTACTTCTTCATCACTAGATCATTAGATGTTAGCACTAACAAAATATTAGACATATTTCCATTTTCACCACTAGATGGCAGCAATATAGGAACGTCAATTAATCGTTATATGTTTTAACCATTTCGCACTGAATTATTAGTTACATTTGTAGTGTTTATTACTGGATATTGGTTACTGAAACGTTAAATACGTTCTTACTTTTAATGACTAAATGGCAGCGTTACTGGAACATTTAGTAAACCTTTACTTCATCACTATAAGTCAGTCATATTGAAGCATTATTGCAATTTACTTTTATTACCCATAGACAACAGCGTTACTAAGACCCTAAAACTTCATTAATATACGTTTTATTAAGGTGATAATGGGACGCGAACCACAGAACCTCACATCCACAGTCTGAAAACTAATCACTGGGCCGCATTCAGCCCTAAAATTTTGATTGAGCAAATAAGAGTAAGTAACGTTCCAAAAACCATTAACGCGAGTACACTGAATAGTTTCTAAATTATTAGTTCCAGTTTAATAACACTGCTTGATATGAAAGCTGCTTTTTTTACTAGTCCTGCTGAAACATAGTTTGAAACAAAAAATTATTCTCATCACTTGGAGAATAAAGATCGTTTTTTTTTCTAAGTTTTCTAATAACACTGACATTAATCGTATAGGAAGATAGATAAGATGCAATACAGAATAGTAAAACAAGTCGTTCAACAACCTATTTCAGATTACAGGTGGCGCTAGCTACAATAGGGTAATGACCCTGGTTTCCGAGCAATGCTTGTTATTCACAAAAAAGTATTATTGCGACTGTGTTGAACAATCTTACTTCTTGTGGAATATTTGCTAAAAGGAAAAGCTGGAACTATAGGCGAAGAAATTACGGAGCGTTACAAAATTCAAGTAAATCTTTTATAAAATATAATTGTATCACCAGAAAGGCACTGGGTGTCGCTATTATATGACACGGTGTTAAAACTATTTTTCTGATAAGAGCTATAAGCCTCAAAATTACGTGTTGTGGTTTTTCTTTTATGTATTGCGTCGTAAGCATCTCGTTTCAATGACCAGTAGTAATCAACCATCATACTGATGTGTCCACCTTCCCTGATACCTCCTCTCCATTTCCCTGGTGAAACTTTTCCCCTTGTTCTTCGCTGATAGCATCGAGATTTTGAGGGAAATAGTCAATATCTGAATGTAAGATATGTACTTTCAAGCTCATATTACAACTCAACTCTTTGAATTTATTGGACATGTTATTGACAATATTTTCATAATTTGGAGCCTTGTTGTTTCCTAAAAATTTGTCAATAACATCTTTAAAGGCA